TTTGATTATGTTTATCTGCAATTAGTTACACGAATTCAGATATGGAGCTTTAATAAGTTGTACTTACGCACAACCTACTTGTAATCTTGAGTTTTAAGTAATATKCATTAATAAACAGTATTTTACGTATAAAAAGTAGTTTTTAAGAGTTTTTGTCAAATGTTTTATAATATAGTATAGATTTTTTTATAATTTAATTTGAGTTTAATAATGAAATAATTTATTTTTGGTTTAATAATATAACATTTTATAATATTAATAATTAAGTATTATGTTAGAACTCAATGATTATCCTAATTATATTTTAGATTTTTTATATTTAAAATGAGATGTTCATCCTGTATTTAATTGTGTTTATCTGCAGTTAGTTACACGAATTCAAATATGGGAAGGGTTTAAGTGTAATCTTGAATTTTAAGTTATATGCATAAGTATACAGTACTTCATACATAAAAAATGGTTTTTAAGAGTTTTTGTCAAATGCTTTATAATATAGTATAGATAAAACTACTAAAATTAAGTGTAAATAAACGTTTAATAAAATATTATTTTTTATCCAAAACATTTAATTTCAATGCATTTGATTGGTGGAAAAAAAGTCATTTCTCTCTTAAATATTAAGTTTTAGAAATCTTATAAAATTTAAAGATTTTAACCTATTTTAGAAACATTTATGAGTCGTTTACCTAATATCATTTACTTATCGGGTAAGATTTTAGTCTATCAAAACGACATCGTATGTAACAACTAACCCGGTATGTGCTAACCATGGTAAGAATTGTTGCAATCATTTACTAGGTAAGACTCTCGATCCTTATCTTCGCTCTTACTGGGTAAGATTATTGGTCATTGTCATATTCATCCGGTAAGGTAATGTGACCTGGTAAACGCTTACTCAAGTAAGCATTTGGTAAACGACCTCTTAGCATATCTATTAGAGTGAACAAATCTTCTAAATTTCTAAAATCAATATTTTAAGATAGTTGTTATAGATGCTTTAATAATTATTAATTAATAAGTTTACTGTAAATATAAGTATGTACATTATGTTGTTATCTCTTATTTATACTATATTATAAAACATTTGAGAAAAACACTTAAAAACATGTTTTTTATGCATAAAGTACTGTTTATTGATGCATATTATTTAAAATTCAAGATTACAAGTAGAAAGTGCATGAGTACATCTTATTAAAGCTCTATGTTTGAATTCGTGTAACTAACTGCAAATAGACATAATTAAATACATGATAAATATCAGTTTAAATATAAAAAATTTAAAATATAATAAGATAATCATTGATAACTAAATGAATACTTAATTATCATCTTAAAAAATTATTTTATTAACTCAAAAATAAATTAGTTCGTTATTGAATTTCAATTAAATTATAATAAAAAATTGAATTAAATAAATTACACAAAAACGAACTTTCAAAATAGTTAATTTTATATTAATATCCCTTTTTTTCAAAATTTTATAATATTTTCAATTTATATCTCATTCAAAAATAAAAACATTTTTCTTTTATCAAAACATCATAAAATCGCATTATAACATCAATAGAGCCAAAATTTAAAACGAAATATTTAAATCAAGATGTATCTCGCTGCATTGTGCAAGTACCCTTCTAATAAATAATATATTATTTAGTAATATATATTCTTCATACGCATTAAGTCTATGTTGTTACGGGACAATCCATGTATTTGCATCTTGAAGACAATAATGTGTCGAATGGTGCGTAAGTGTGGCATTGGATATTCTCCATTTAATACCACTTTTATGTAATTGTTATCATCAACTCTGTTTAGAATGTTGGCTTTCAACTCTGTTTGTTGTGTGATTTTCAAAGTTTAAAACTTGATCAACGCAAGCAAATACAAGCATTTCCTTATATGGTACCAACCATATATTGTCCAGGTAATTCATAACACCTGGAAAAAAAATACAACAAACATATGTCAATATATTTAGTAACAATGGTTAAACTATCTTATATCAAGAATACCTAGATAAACGAGCAAATTTTCTTAAAGTTTTCTCAAATTGTACGTGTACAATTCCTGATTTTGAGATTCAAAGAATTGCAATCATAATTGAGAAAAAGAATTCCACGAGTGAGACTCGTGAATCAATGGTCTATAATGTTTCAAAATATTTTGAAAGATATGTCATCTACAAAGTAACTGTTTAGCACCCGAAAATATCACTCTGCATGCATTAATCAAAGCCAAACTCTCTCTCTTTGACCATGACACATGAGTAAAAGTTATCGCATATTTTGGACTCTAGACAATCTAACGCCCAAGTATAATTTGATATATTTTCTTGATGCATGAAAACAAATGTTATGCAAAATGTCAGGTTGGTCGATGGTACACCAACTATCTCAAGAAGAGGCATGTCGTACCTGAATAATAAATTAACAAAATAATAATGTTAAATAATAATAATATTAACATTAACATAATAGACATGCATTTTCAGGTACCTATTTGTTTTATATGTGACATCGATGACCAACACTTGTGGGAATGCACGCCAAATAATGATGAGTTGAGCGATTACTTAATTGTTCAAACTGATGGATCTGCATATGGTTGAGGAGGAATTCTTTTAAAAAGACCCTCAAAATATTTCTCTATCCATGAAGAACAACTTTGTAGATATTTGTAACGCCCCCAGAACCCCGTAGCAATGATATTGTCCGCTTTGACTAACCTGCCCGCTATACCACAAAGCAAACGCGTCATCGCATATCAGAGTCCGCAGCACGGAAGCGATAGATATTGTCCGCTTTGGCACGCTGGTCCACAATGCCTCACGGTTTTACTTCCTGCCCGCTATACCACAAAATTAGCCGGATTGTAACCGCCATTCTATTTCTCTTATTGGTTAAATTTTATTTTATGCTTTGGGCTCTCTCTCTCCAATGATTTTTTGGTATATGTATTTTTGGGGTGTTACAAATGGTATCAGAGCCAGACCCGGATCGATGTGGCCCAACGAGGACGTTGTGTCCTAACGGGGGGAGGGTGTAACATCCCGTCCCACATC